CCCGGCCGCGCCCCGCTCACCCTGTCCGACTGATTGCCCGACTCCTCGTCGTCCTCGTCGTCGTCGTCGTCCTCCTCCTCCTCGCTCAGTTGTTCCGCCAGCGCTTCAACCTCAGACTGCAACAGAGCGAAGAGGGGCCGCGGAACAGTGACCCCTGGGCCACAGCCCTCTCCTCTCCTGGGGGGCTGGGGCGAGGCGGGCAGGTCGCACCCGACCCGGCGCTCGAACAAGGCGGCGGGTAGGGCAGGGCAGCCCCGCCGCTGGACCCGGCTGGACGGAGAAAGCGCGCAGAACGTTACACGGCCACGAAAAGCGCAACGGTTAGAGGCAAATGTGTGAATCTTGGCAAGACATATTGAGCAAAACAAAAACAACAAAAACACAAACAGTAAGCTCCAGAAAGGAAATGCATAGTATGTATATGTACAGTATGTTCTTTCTGTGAAGTTCATAAGACGACTACCAACGGCTGCTAAAAACACTGGATGAAACACTAATGAGGAACTTTATAATGAGGATCAACCTGACGTCACCTAAATACATTGATTGATCTAAGCATCACTAATAAATCCAGATCCCTCTGCCTCCTGATGGAATGCAACAGGAAGCCCTCATTCCAGTGGGGAGAGTGTGTGGGGGGGAAACGTGCACCTGAAGCTGATCAACGAGCTTACAAGTAAAAGAAATACTGGGCACAGAGGAATGTGCCAATTGACACAGTCAGCCAGCTCCTAAATGTGAGGAATTCTGTCGGACAACAAATAAATGGCAAGAAAATTTTTTTTGTAATTCAGGGAAAACTACACATCAAGAAACACCTTAGACAAATGTCAATCAAACTGATGCGTGGACCTCATTTGAATCTTGACAAACACACACTTAAAAAAAAAAAAATCTATTGATTTCAGAGAGAGGAAGAGAGAAGGAGAGAGTGTTGAAACATCAATGATGAGAGTTGTCATTGATCAGCTGCCTCCTGCACGCCCCCTATTGGGGATCAAGCCCCCAACCTAGGCATGTGCCCTGACCAGGAATTGAACCTCCATCTCCTGGATTCTAGGTCGATGCTCAACCGCTGAGCCATGCCTGGCTGGGCCAAAAACCCATTTGTGAGACAACTGAGATGTGAAAACTAAATGGTAGCAAAGCGATATTAAGAAATCACTGGTAAACTTTTTAGATGTGAAAATAGTCATTACGTTATGTAAAGAAAGAGAAAAAGGAGATCTTATGCTTAGTGATATATATGGAAATATTTCCAGATAAAATATGTCTGGGATTTGCTTTAAAATAATCTAGTAGGGCCCAGCGGGCGTGGCTCAGTGGTTGAGAATCAAACTAGGATCCAGAAGATCAGGGTTGGATTCCAGGTCAGGACACATGTCCAGGTTGTGGGCTTGGTCCCCAGCAGGGGGCGTGCAGGAGGCAGCAGACCAATGACTCATCATTGATGCTTCCATCTCTCTCTCTCTCTCTCTCTCTCCCTCTCTCTGAAATAAATAACAATATATTAAAAAAAATATGTAAAATAAAATGATCTAGTAGGTGTGTGTTAGGGGAGGCGTAGATGAGTGTCAGGACCAGCTGTGTATTATAAAGGAGGCAAGAACATACAATGGGGTGGGAGAGTCTCTTCAATAATTGCTGTTGGGAAAATTGGACAGATACATACAAAAGAATAAAATCTTCTTACACCACATATAAAAATAAACTCAAAATGGATCAAAGACTTAAATATAAGACCCAAAACCATAAAACTCTTAGAAGAAAACAAACACAGTACACTTTCTAAAATTGCTCTTAGCAGTATTTTTTGGATATGTCTTCTCAGGTAAGGGCAACAAAAGAAAAAATAAACAAATGGGATTACATTGAACTAAAGAGTTTTGCACAGCAAAGGAAACCATCAACAAAACAAAGACAACTTACCCTGGCCGGTGTGGCTAAGTGGTAGAGCTTCAGCCCACGAAGGGTCATGGGTTCAATTCCTGGTTAAGGGCACATACCTGGGTTGCGGGTTCATTCCCTGGCCCCAGTCGGGGTGAATGCGGGAGGCAACCAATAGATATGTCTCTCTCACATCAGATGTTTCTCTCTCTCTCTCCACCTCCCTTCCTTCTACTCTCTCTAAAAATCATTGGAAAAAATATCCTCAGGTGAGGATTAACAAACAACAGCAACAAAAAAAAGTCACAATGACAACCTACTGTATGGAAGAAGAAATCTTCCAATGATACATCTATCTATACAAGAAACTCATAACTGAACACCAAAAAACCAAAAAAACCAAAAAAACTCCCCAAACAATCCAATTAAAAATGGGCAGCCCAGCCAGACATGGCTCAGTGGTTGAGCATCCACCTAGGATCCAGGAGATCACAGTTCGATTCCCGATCAGGGCACATGCCTGGGTTGTGGGCTCGATCCCCAGTAGGGGGCGTGCAGGAGGCAGCTGATCAATGACTCATCACTGATGTTTCTCTCTCTCTCTCTCTCTCTCTCTCTCTCTCCCTCTTCCTTCCTCTCTCTGACACAGGTATATTTAAAAAAAAAAAAAAAAAGGGCTAAGGACCTGAATAAACACTTCTCCAAAACAGACATGCAGATGGCCAAGAGACATATGAAAAGATGTTCAACATCACTAATCATCAGGGAGATGCAAATTAAAACCACAGTGAGCTATCATCTCACACCTGTCAGAATGACTATCATCAACAAATCAACAAGTGCTGGTGAGGATGTGGAGAAAAGGGAACCCTCCCACACTGCTGGTGGGAATGCAGACTGGTGCAGCCATTATGGAAAAACAGTATGGAGGATCCTCAAAAAATTAGAAATAGAACTACCATATGATCCAGCAATTCCACTTCCGGGTGTTTATCCAAAGAAATCCAAAATATTAATTCGAAAACACATATGCAACCCTACGTTCATTGGTGTTATTTATAATAACCAAAATATGGAAGCAACCTAAGTGTCCATCAACAGACAAGCAGATAAAGAAAATGTGGTGATGTATACAATGGGATATTACTTGGCTGTAAAGAAAGAGTGAGATCTTGCCATCTGCAACATGGATGGACCTAGAGGGTATTGTGCTGAGTGAAATAAGTCAGAGAAAGACAAATGACATGATTTCACTTATATGTGGAATTCAGAAACAAAATAAACAAAGCAGAAACAAACTCAAAGATACAGAGAACATTTTGATGGTTGCCAGATGGAAGGGGGGTTGGGGGACTGGTTGAAGAGGGGAAGGGATTAAGAAGTACAAATTGCCAGTTATAAAAAGTCACTGGGATGTAAAGTACAGCACAGGGAATATAGTTAATAATATTGTAATAACTATGTGTGGTGCCAGGTGGATACCAGACTTACTGAGGTGATCACTTTGTAAGGTATATAAATGTTTAGTTACCATGTTGCACACCCAAAACGAATATAATATTGTATGTCTACTCTAATTGAAAAATAATTAAAAAATCAGCTGTGTTGCAATAGCAAAGATGGACCTAAAGGGTATTATGCCAAGTGAAATAAGTCAGCCAGAGAAATACCATAGGGTTTCACTTCTATGTGAGATCTAAAGAGCAACATAAACAAACAAAACAGAAACAGATTCAGATACAGAAAACTGATGGCTGCCAGAGGGGAGAGGCGCTGGGGAACTGGGTGAAAAAGGTGAAGAGATTGAGAAGTAAAGACCCATAGTTACAAAATAGTCATGGGGGACAGCCCTGGCTACTGTGGCTCAGTGGTTAGAGTTGGCCACAGAACCGAAGGGCGGAGGGTTTGAGTCCCGGTCAAGGGAATGTACTTGGGTTGCAGGTTAAATTCCTGGCCCCAGTAGGGACGCATGCAGAAGGCAACCAATCGATGTGTCTCTCACATTGATGTTTCTCTCTCTTTCCCTCTCTCTCTCCTCCATTCCCTCCCTCCTACTCTCTCTAAAAATCAATGGGAAAATATCAAATGAGGATTAACAAAACAAAACGTCAAAGGGATGTCAAGTACAGCACAGGGAATATTGTAAATAATATTGTAATAACTATGTATGGTGCCAGGTGGGTACTGGAAATATCAGGGGGAACACTTTGTAAAGTATATGACTGTCTAACCACTATGCTGTACATCTGAAACTAATACAAAATAATATTGAGCCCTGGTCTGTGTGGTTCAGTTGGCTGAGTGTCAGTGCAAGTTTTGGGCTTGATCCCTAGTAGGGTGCGTACTGAAGGCAGCTGATTGATGTTTTGCTCTCATATCGATGTTTCCCCCTTTCTCTCCCTTTCTCTTCCTCTCTCTCTAAATATCAATAAAAGCAAACAAATAAATAATATTGAATGTAAAAAAATAATTAATTTAAAAAATGGGGCTCACTCTTCTATTCTTTTGCATGTACAGTTGGTTCTTCAACAACACAAGGGTTAGGAGTGCCAACACTAAAAACTCCATGTATAACTTTGACTTCCCCCCAAATTAACTAATAGTGTATTGCTGGCTGGAAGCCTTCTCAATAAAGTAAACAGTTGATTAACACATATTTTGTATGTTAAATGTAATATATACTGTATTCTTATGACAAAGTATGCTAGAGAAAATAAGTCATAAGGAAAAGAAAATACATTTACAGTATTTATTGAAAAAGTATCCGTGTATAAGAGGACCCACGAAGGTCAAACCTGTGTTGTTCAAGGATCATCTGTATTTGAAAGTTTCCACAATAAAACATTAAATAAAAAGCAAAATAGGCAAGACTAAGTACACAGGCAAACATGCATGAGATAAAACCAAACCAAGAGCAAAGGAGTAAACAAGCAAACAACAAACAGACCATGAAACAGATGGGCCACTGTGGAAAAGCGCGGCATAGAATGAGGTGCAGCGCACGTGGTGGTAAGTCAGAGATAGTATGGCGCAATGAATTAGAGGGCGTTCAGAAGATAAAAAGGAAAGAGTGAAAAGGGGGGGGGCAGGACAGGCTGAAGAGTAAGCCCTGGACATGGCGGCGGCAGGCCGGCTGCCTCTCACCTTGCTGTCAGAGTCCACACGTTCATCCACAGAGTAGGAGTCGTAGTAGAGGCTGAAGTCATCCCCCACCACTGTCTCCCACTCCTCCAGGGGCCCAGGATTTGCCTTCTCCAGGGTCATTTCTCCCGAACCCCGGGCAGAACCCAACTCCTCTGACTAGAAAAAAATGAGAACAATTGAAGCTGCTGGCACTCCCCACCAATCCATTTCCCTTGGGGGTGGGATGCTGCCCTAGTTTGGGGCTCCCTTGCAGCAGCCCCCAGGTGGAGAGGCCTTGTTCCCTGCCTCTCTCAGCTCACCAGGCCACCTCCTGAGTTCAGCTTCCTCCTTTTGGCCACATCTGGAAGGAGAGAAGAAAGGAGCCAGGCTTGTATTCTAAACCCTCAGGACAGGCCTTATCAAGCTGCAGGTGGGTGGGGGGTGGGACTGACCTGAGGTCACCTTCCCCAGCGAGTGCACGTCATCACTCATGCGGAAATGCTGCACTTCAGGGGGCCGCTTCTCAGGGACTGGGGGCTGGGGACCGAGAGGGAGCACACTTAGGGTAAGGAGCGGCTACTGTTTGGCCTAGACTAGTATGGAGCCCCAAATGAGGGTCGGGTGCTGAGCCACACCCTCAAGAGTGCCATCCAAAGCTGCAGTAGCCAGGTGTGGCTATAACAACTGCTGTCTCCCCACAGGAAGTGTGTCAAGAACACCCCACATCTAACCCTCACTTATTTCAAGTATGCAGCAGGCCCTTTCTTCCCAGTTTACAGATGAAAAAACAAAGGTTAAGGCCCTGACCAAAGATACTCAAACCACACGCAGAACTTAATGCTACCAACAGCCCTAAAAAACACTGCTATAAACTTGTGAGATCCTGGGGTCTCTGTCATTTCTGTGGCCCTCATCTCCTTCCCAATAGGAGTACAACCTTTAAAATGGAGCAGGGGTAGTTTCTACAGGAGGAAAAAGTTCCCTGGAGGCTTGCTTTGAGGTAAAAAAAGTGGTTTGAAGTTTCTTCACATAATCATTATCTCAAGAGTAATTAAGACATTGACTACATACATAAATCTCTAACATTTGTCTCTTCTACTTCCCTCTCCTCAAAAGCCCCAGCCCAGAATGTGACACAAAATAGCCCCTTGGTAAATATGTAAAGCTGTAAATGGATTAGAAAAGACCTGAAGCTACTGGACAAAAAAAGCCCACAAGCGGTTGAGGGTTGATTACCTGTCCCCCCTCCCCCGCAATCCTCACCTGTCCATTTCCCGGTTTGGACATGGTTTTCCTGGCTCGGTGGACCTTGGGCTGCCCCTCTGGGCTGGTTGTAGCTGGAGGGGGTTCAGGCCCTGATGCTGCCGCCCCCTGGGCACCCGGCATACTCAGCAGCCTCATAGCCAAACTCTGGACTGATGGTGGTGATTTCCCGGCCCCTGTCATTGACATCTTGGCGCGGCTGGGACAGGCACCCCCTTTGCTGGGGGAAGAGGGGAATGACTTTGTGGCATGGCCTGGAAAAGACAGGCGGGTAGGCAGAGGCAAGATTAGAGGGAAGGCAGTCAGAAGATCCCCACCTCACCCCCAGCTTCCGCAGCCTCTCACCCAGAAGGATGCGCCCCCCTTGGAGGTCCCCATCTCCCTCAAGATTCTCAGGTTCATCCCCAAGGAGTGGTGTGGCCCCTACAGGGGTGTCGGCCCCCTCATCGCCAACAGTGACGGTGACAGAGGCTGGGGATGAGGGGCCAGCAGGCTCCAGGGAGTCGGGATTGGCCTTGGGCAGGGTCTCCTCGCTACGAGGGGCGTCCCCAAAAGAGCCATGAACTGTAAGGAAAGAAAAGTTCAGGGTTATGGGCTGGGGGGTCCTGGGTTTGAGGAGGTAAAGGTCCAGCTGGGCCCGTTGCTGCTTCACTCACCTCTCTCGATGGCTCCTCTGGGCTCCTTGTCCAGCACCAGAGCCCCCATCTCAGCGGGCCCCCCACCCTGGGAGGCGACACAAGGGATAGGAGGACTGGTCAGCCCGGTAGGAAGTTGGGGTGCCCAGGACGCCTGGGCCCTGGGTAGAGAGAGTAGGTTCCGGGGCCTACCTCTTCCTCTGTGGGCGCCCCCCCTTCCGCGGCCTCGGCTGCCCGGAGGGGCCGCACGACCCCTTCCCCGGGCCCGCATCAGCCCCCTGCCTCTCGGTAGACCCCGCATCTCAGGGGCCGAGAAGAGAGGAGGGGGAGGGGGCGGGGCTTCCGCGCACCGGCCCCGCCCCCTCTTCCCTGCTGCACGCGCCGCTCCCCCTTTGTCCCCCGGGCCGCGGGGACCCCGGGCACCAACCCCTCCGGCACCCGCTGT